CAGTTTAAGAGCTCTAAACTGAACTGACTGATAAGACGAGAGCTCTAAACTGACACTGAACTGACTGCCAAGCAATCAGTCAGTCAGTCAGTCTCATCAGTTTGGATTGATTGTTAGCAACTCTGCCGCACAGGCTGCTTTCCAAATCTCGAACGCGAAATACGCACCCAGTGAGAAGACATCTACGCATGCCGAAAGCAGGGTCTTTCACATCATCAACCGTCCCTTCTACTGTCTTCCTCGTCATCTTCCTCAAGACCCTCAGGACCAAGACGGAAACTTCAACCCAGCACCCAGATTCCTTCCCTTGGATCTGGTTCTCTACAATCTTTCGCGCCGTGGCAATGGAGAGATTTCAGCAGCCATCTCTACAGTGCCACCCGAAAAAGCGAATAAAGGACACGAATTCCTGAGAGCAAGTATAGGATACGACTTGAGCGACGTGGGACACGCCGAGCTCGCATACGCACCAAGCCAGACACAGCACCCCGGATATACTGGCATTACAGATACTTACATGGAGTTTGTGAGAAGTGGCATTATTGTACCAGTAAGAGGATGGGTTGACAGTGTTGCACAGGCAAGTGACGGTGTCTCCCTAGACATTGGTCTGAAGCAGTACGAGCCCTGGTATCATGGATCGGGGAAAGAGCCAAAGGTAACTACACTACTCCTAATTTCAGTAGTGACGAAGATACTGATAGCTTACAGAGCCAGAGCAAGATCTGCGACGTCGTGGGTATCATCGAAGCTACCGGCTACAAAGCCGACCTGGACTGGCTTGACCCTTGCGTCAGAGGCCTTCTTGCCGACGATAGCACCGCACCAAATTCACGTATACCATATCTCCTTTCCCGTGGGTCGGTGTTCTCTCAGCGAGTCCCTACAATTGGGTTTGTGGGCTTCTATGAGGGTCCTTATTGGGGGGTGATGGAGATGCAAGCTCGACTTCTTGCTCAAAGCTGGGCCAAGCGGGATTCTGAGCAGCTGCCGTCTTTATTGTCCGAATTACACAGATACGATGACACGAAACGCATGCAAGAAGCGATGAACCAGAAATCGCTACAGGTACCTCAGTTCTGGATGGCAGATTACGTTGGTTTGATTGAAGAATTTGCACGAGGAACAGGCGCCTCGCGCGACGACTCGCTATTTGGCGGCCAAACGGGTCCTACCTTTCCATCGCGCTATCACCATGCAGGTACCAATGCCCAGGCGAAGGAAGTAGTCGAAGACGTTGCCAAGGTACTCCAGGCTTCCCAAGAAGATGCTCGGTTCGTTGCTGCCGCAGTGTTTACAGGTATGCAAGGTGTGTGGAACATGACACGCAAAATTGACTCACATACCAACACACCTGGCGGCGTGTTTGTGGGCACAGCACACTTCCACCCACGCCAATCTACCGATCCAACCACTTACATATCCGAATACCTGTACGTCGAACAAGGCACATTCACCATGGATACTGGCCTGTCTTTTCCTGCGACTCGCCGTTACATCTATCGATACAATGAGATACGCGACGAGATCACAGCATGGTTTGCTAAAGATGACAACAAAAGTGTAGGAGCACTGTTCAACACGTGGGGGTTCTACGCGCCAGTTGACAACAAGTCTGGATGGATGGCCAAAGGTTATCATTGGTGTGATCCGGATACGTACCGCAATCACTGCGAGTTCAAGTTTCGCGGTGCGAAGATTGAGCGATTCATGATCAGATACGAGGTTGAGGGACCGAAGAAGGATTACTCGCATGAGAGCTGGTATGAGAGAGCAGGGGCTAGCAGCAGTTGAATGGAGATTTAGAGGTTCGTATAGTGTCGGAGTGACTGGTACCATCGACAAGAGTTGTGCAAAGGTAGTATAGCACCGTTTCTTTTTTCACACAAGTTTTCACGGGAAGTACCGATGAACAAGGCAAGAGATAATTGCGCCTTCTCACTCATACCTGTCAGAATCGGAAACAGCGTCGGCGGAAGTGTTAACGGTCACAGCTACGGTCTCAGTGAGTTGGAGATGATCAGATATTGGCTTATAGTAGCTCCTGGCATATCATCGATGCCATAGGTGCAAGAAGGTAGGCCCTTAGCACTATGTACAAAATACAATGTCAGATTGGATGAAGAATGGCTCTGGAAAAGTGCCTTTGGAGTGTTATGTATTCAAAGGGTATCATATACATGTCGTCATATCGTACAGCAATACATCGTTATGAAATCTCTGGCATTTCATGTGTCCATCTGCTCAACACCCCCGTTAACAAGTGAACTAGGGTGTGTGGGTGGACCGTCTCGCCCTAGGCTCTTGAGATCTGCTAGCAAGGTTCTGAGATGGTTCTCACGGTTCTGGTTGCTGCCCCATGTGACCGCCTGGGAGTAATACAGTATATCCCAGGCCTCGTCACTGATATTTTGGAGAAAGGTAGGTAAAGATCGCGCTTTTTGGTACGAGCGCCAGAGAATCCGGCGGATGTCGTCATTTGCGCCGATGTATGCGAATTCAATGGCTTGATTGAAAGACTTCAGCGCGGGCGAGATGTTAAAAGGTGGGGGCAGATGAACGCGGAGTCGTTGGAGGGCGGCAGAGTGTTCTGGATCCTGGAGGGCGGCAGCCATACGTTCTTTGAGCGTAGTAGTGCGGTCGTCTTCGAGTTGGTAGGGATCAGGTGCACTATCGTGCGCAATAGTAGTAAGATCACCTTGCTGTTGCTTGTTTTCTGAGATGAGCTTTTGAATGTACATGAGCTTCTCCATCAACTTGGGGTCTTTCATGATTTCGTCAACTTTGGCTTGTAGCTCGGCGGGAACATCTTCCTCGTCCTCCACAAGCTGCTGGGGCTGCGATGCCTTCGACTCGGCAAACTTCATGATCTCCTCCGCTAATTCTTGCGGGTCCATCTCACGTTCGAATACACCGTCTTGATCTTGGTTCGACGACGAGTCTTCATTGAGGGCTGCATCAAGTTCAGACTCAAGGCCGCTGTCGCCACCCAGCGACTTCATGATATCCCGCATCTGATGTAGGAGTTTATCCACATCCTGCAGGTCCTCGGGCGTTGTCATGGTGAGATCGTCATCTGGGGCCTCAGCTTCAGCGATAGCGTCCTCTGTGTTTCTCTGGTACTCCTCCCATTCAGTCTCTAATTTCGGGCTATCGAGATGTTCGCTCATAGCAGCAACCTTCTTCTGCATAGCTTCGTTGGCCCCCAGCTTGTCCATTGCCTTGTTCAGCATGGCTTGATAATCGGGGTTGTCCATTTCCTCCACATCTGGCATCTCGTCGATGCACTTTTGGAGGTCAGCCTTCGCATCTCCGATATCCGGATCGCTGACAATGTCTTGTAGAGTTTGGAGTGTGGCCGTCCGTAGGCCAGTCTTGAACTCTTTGCTTTCCTTCCCTGCTTCGATGGCTGCCTGCTCTTCTAATTGCTGGAGCTCTTTCCTCGACTTGATGCCTTCCTTGATATCCTTGAGCTCGTCCGTCAATTCGGCGAAGTTTGGGTTAGCCAGTAAGCTGTCGATCAGTCGCCGGTTCAGCCTTGCGTCGTCGTAGTCCGGGTTCTTCTGTGATTCCTCTATCATCATGTACATCTCTTTGTCTTTCTTGCGATCTTCCGGTGTGGCTAAGCGTTCAACGAGACGCTGTGGCGTGCCTTTGTCCAAGTCCTGCTCATACCAGTTGATGACGGGCATATCGTCACGTTCGAGTTCGGCGTCGGACAGCGGGCGCATAAGCCTGTCCGTTTCCGCATCGTTCTCGAAAACGGATTTTGTGCCTTTGAGCTTGTCCCGTATCGCAGACCTGGATCCGGTCGTCGCATCCTTCTCCGTCTCATCGGGTCGGCTGGCTTTTGTGCGTTTTCCACGTCGAGGGCACGCTGGTAAAGGGTGGAGTACAGAGCATGTTGTAGCACGAGGCCGTGCGAGCGCCCTCAAAAGTAATCGGGGAGATACATGTGTGCGTGCGAGCATTGTGATGGTGCTAATGGTGGCAGACTCCCTGTCGCTGTTTCCCCAAAGTTCTGGCGCGGATGCAAACGATGCAAACACCACGTCATCTTGGCACCCCCGAGAACTCCGCAAATGCTTGCCAAGAATTACTCCTGCGAAGCAAAGCCCTCAAGCACACCAAACATAGTTCTGACACCGTTCTCCACGCTGAGGCCCTATCCGTCATCGTCATCATCATCCCCGCGAGAGCCACTAACAAGGCCATTATCAAAGGCTTCGCTGCGCCTCCAAGTATGCTCGTTGAGAACGCCTGCCAGACTTGAGTCTTTCTCCGCCCACTCGACTACTTCTCTTCAACTGCTACCTGGGTTTGTGATGTTCTTGTTCGAAGAGTCGCATGTCAATCAAGATGTGTGCTTAAAGCGGAAACATGGAAGCTAGAGAGAAAGAGCAAAGGTTGCGGCAGTGCGGCGGAGGCGGCCGTGAGTGCCTTATAAGACCTCGTGAAATCAGCAGCAAGTGAAGCTTGTTTAAAGGTTGCACCGTGTTCGTTCCAGAAACGCGCTGTTTATCACAGTCTCCGACTGGGAACGCCTTTCTAGGAAGCTTACACCCTGGTCACTGATCAACCAACAACTCACCATGCATCGCTTCACGAGAGTGAGCAAGAATCACGACATAAGTCTCTTTGACTATGATCTACTACCAGCATGTGCGAGGTCATGCCGTATCCTGGAGATCTCTGAAGGCAACGGTGTTCCACCAGCGGCTCCGATATCCGATCTGTCCACATACAGAAACTGCGTGTGTCAGTCCGATTACCTGCGCAGCCTCCATACGGGTGGAGTGGTTTGTCAACATGTATGTAATGAAGAGGACGATGAAATTATCCACAGCTACTACGTTAATATGTGTACATCTCCAAAGCCAGCGAAGACGAACATGTTCATCTCCACGTTGACCATGAGTTCAGCGGCTGTACGAACGACAGTCGCATCCAGCCTGGTCTATCACCCAACCGTCGCGACCCCTGCATGCACTGAGACAAGCCAGGGTATCCCAAAGAGTGACTACCAATGGTACGTATGGGACCTTTATCCTCCAAACCATAGGCTGATGGTTCCAAGGTCTGATCAGAACAGCAAATACCTGGCTACAGCAGCTGGTGTAATTCTCGCAATTATTGCAGCTTTACTTGGGATAGTCTATTACCGTCGCCGTAACAACCATAATTCCAAGCTCGCGAATCAACAAGTCCATGGTCGCTCAATCGCCCTACAGTCACCCACATGCCAAGCAGCACAATCACTCCGGCTTGACGCTGAACAAGATCGGCACTTGAAGACAAGCGCTAATGCTGACTCGTTGCTTTTGGCGATACAGAGCCCTTCCGTCCCACCTCCATTCGCGCCGCCGACTCCAAGCCATAAACTTGGACATACCATTCGAGTTTATGCGAAGAGAGATAATGAGGGAGATGATCTTGGGAGAAGTGACGTCGAAGGACCTACCACCCTGGTGCGGTCACTAAGCAGAACGGAGAGGTTGATAAGGGAGAGGATTAGAATGACTGGTCGACCTGACATCCCAATCAGTGCGACCCCAAAGATTACAAGGTGACAAACGTGTAAACGTAGTATATTTTGCAAGGTCTGTTTTGGATTTTCGTGGCCATATGCATGAATGTGGCACAGCTGGAGTGGAAAGGGTAATAGTACAATACATAGGCAAGCCATGGGTCTGAATTAGATTCTTCTACCACAACAATGTGTTCATATAACGTGATCAATGGAATTGTATATTATAGTTAATCACTTGCGCGATATTGCAGGTATGATGAAAGAGCTGTGTTGGGCGCCAGACGATTATCAAGGTGAGCTATCCTGATGGGGTTAAGGCGCTACCCGCCCGCGTTTCCATCATCAGGAGCGCTGCATCGATCCGTCCTCGTCTTACTACATCCAGGGGGGACTATACAATAGAAACAATGATGATCAAATGGTTGCGCCACAAACGACCCAGCGGCAACGTGTCAGCATCGCCCGTAAAAAATACCCAGCGCTTTGGTACAACAGACAGCTGACTCTGTGCAGCCCCAAAAGACGGATTGTGCGTTTCTGGAACTACCAGGCGAGATACGCAATCATATATACGCCATGGCTATCTACCCAGAGTTGTCTTCCATTGTGATCGTAAATTGCACCAAACCGGAGCATCTTGCCGTGTCGGTGCTGAACCTTCCTCTCTTTCGCGTCAGTCGCCAGATTCGGGCTGAATGCCTTTCCTATATGTGCTCCAGGTTCCCTATACGGATCCTTGGCCTACAGACTGCGATTGTCTTCTTTTCTTGCGCAGGACCAGCTACCTCCGAGATAAAGGCACTCACCCTTGTGCAGCCAGCCATGAGCATTCTGGAGAGCAAAGAAAGTCGAGATACTGTGGAGCACTTTTTCGCAGCACTGAACAGAATGGAAGATTTGAACGAACTTGTATTGGAGGACATAGGGAGGAATCCAATGCTAGAACAGAGTGGAAAGGAACTGGAGTTTGTAAGGAGAGTGAAGGACTTGAGCAAGAGAGGCTTGGATGTGAAAGTTAGGTTTGGGAAAGAACGGGTGGTGTGAGTAAGACATGAGATGCATCACCGGTCGACACAGTCAGAAACCTGATTGTTGCCTTCTTGGCATTGTTCGTGCTACAAAACCCAGAAACTTCTACGAAATGGGCTCCCGAAGCATCACTGTGCTGTAATCTGTACCTTCTAACCCATAGTGTGTCAGATCCCACGTTACCACTGCAATGCCGAAAACACAAAGTCAGTGACAGTCCCGAAGGCAGTTGATT